CCGATTTTCACGGGTCATGGCTGGTCTGTCCGTCTTGACACCTCTAAAATAGCAGATGAACCATGTTAGTCCACTTCTGTAAAATGAGAAAACAGAGAACTAGCAGATGAACCAAAGTTTTTGTTTGCACCTCATCAAGAATTATTCATGAATAATAACCATAACAAGATTCAATGCCATCAGACACTAATCAATCATGACCAATTTCACATGAGATGAACTGTGAAAGTCAATAACGCAACATTTTTTTTTTCCAATCACAGCAAGCACTATTTTAATGCTTTCAATGGTGAAGTATGAAAGTCAACTAAATAACACATCTTTTCCTAAACCAAACCAATAAAATGAGAAAATAGAGAACCATGTAATGTAACCTAAGACGAAATTCAACATCACAGCCGTGTTAATCGACTTCTATGACTCTTTAAGAATTAATACCCTGTTGCTTCAATTTTCAAATACCCATTTCCATGTTGCGGTGAGTTAGTGACCTCTATACAGACATACAATTTTAGCATTTGAATACCAAAAAAAAATTTCGTTATTCCTATTTCCTCCCACAGGCCGCAATAGCAGATGAATATCAATAGAAAACTTACCTACCAACTACCGATGGACGCTACTGGTCGGCGGCGTGGTTCAGATATGAGATACCCACGACTTTCCTTTTTGTTTTTTTTTTATTATCTTCATCGATTTCATGAATTTGGGACTGGAAATTGGAGATTTCAACACAATTTTTTTCAATTCCTCTGTTGGGAGTCCGGAGTCGGGATGATTCGGGTGAATGCTTTCCAATTGGGATTCTTGTAATGGATGGGTTATATTTCTATCGTATAGTTTGGGCCAAATAATTTGCCCACTTCTTCTTTTTTTTTTTTTCAATAACGGACTGTTTTAAAAATTGGGGCGACTCAAAGCCCAGTGAGGCAGATGCTTGCATTGGGCTGCTTTAGTTAGGTCCGCCCCTGTTCGGATGGGGAAAACCTTTGGTAGTGAGTGCTGGTTTGGCGAACAAATTTGACCGAAAATTGACAATATTTCCTAGTGTAGAAGATGGTAGTGTAGACATTGAGTTTCGACTCACGCATTGCTAGCTATGGAAAATGATACCGAATTCATGCAAGTTGTTACGGTAAACTAGTGTGCATGGTAATTTGAGTGGTTTCCTGTTTTGTGGGTGTTTGACACCCATTCTTTT